CGTACGGAACGCCCCCGGCACCGAACGGCATACTGCTTATCCCGGACAGCCACAATCGTGTGTGTAAATTTTTAGGTATCACAGGAAAGTGAAATCTGATTAATTTCCCCGTGTTTGTATTCATAAACGGCAGTTGTGGAAGAAGCCTTGGGCACAAATTGTGACAGTATTGTTGTCTTTCAGCATTAAACTTTTTGCCTAAAACCTAGTTAGTTTGAATAGACTAATTTAAACCCGCTTTTCCAAGTTCTCTTTTTTACTTCTGCACCTCTCTGTATTTTATAGATGAGAATTCTGTATATTTTATTTAAAAACCTGTTGTAGAACAGGTAGAACAAAATCCAAGTTTGCACATGAATGTTAAGAACATTAAACAGGCTATAAATATTTACAATTCCTACACAGCAAGGATGCTTTAGTGGCTGGTTGTTCAGCTCCCAGAAGATGCTCCTTTAGCACATATTAAGCTGTGTTACTGAAAAGTTTTTCTGCTATACTAGTTTCAAAAATACATACAACTTCAAATATTGTCTGAAATTTGCCCCAATGCCAAAGACCACCACGAGGCCTACGATTACTAAATCCTTCTTTTGAAAGATGAAGTTGTTCGTAGGCTTTTGCTAGCCATCTGGAGAAGCCAGATTTCACGTTCACAAGATATTTTATCCCAGGGAACTGAAAAGGAGACTGGGATCGTGATGCGACAGTTGGCAGCCTGTGATCCTCGAGTGTCTCAAGTTTTAGAACAGGCTCTTGCAGTTTGTTCAATTCCCTTCAAGCAGAATTCTGCTTCCATCAGAATGAAAGCATTTCAAATGGTCTTCCTTTATGCTTACTCTCAAAATTAAATAAAATATAAAATTCCTTTTTTTTTTTTTTCAAAATATAAAGTAAAGCTGTCTTCTAAGCACAAGTATAGCATGAGCCCTCATTTTTTTTAAGCAAGTTCATGGTACTCCACTACTGATCCTTGCTGGATTTACTAGTGGGTTTCCAAGCTTGCTACCATCTTCCTCTCAGCGTATAAGAAGTTCCTTTTCTTATCGACAGATCATTAAACCATTGTATCCTTCCTCATACCATCTTCTTTTACACTTCTATCTGGCCAGCACCTCTTCTTTACTAGCTTCTCCTAGAGCATACATGTTCTTCATTAGTGCATTTGAAATGCCTACCTAAGCCAAGTCCTTCTTCAAACTCCAGATTTTTGCCTGAAGGTGTTTCTACAATAGATACAGTTAACTACTAACTGGGGGGAAAAAAAGACAAAATTATTGTGTTTATAACAACACAAGAAGTACATGCAAGTGGGCAGACATTGGCTATGCATAATGTATCTTCAGGAAGAAAATAAGAGAGCAGAAAAACAAAGAATGGATTTTGAGGAGCAGACGTCAATAAACAGGTAACTGGCAAGCAAGATCTTGCTGCACAAAAAGTTACAAAGAGATGGCAGTTTCTTTACTAAGGGCACAAGTGCAAACTATCTTAATGCAAAGAAAGGGTAAGAAATGTAATAGGTGATTAGGTTCAGGTATGACAAGAAAACAGGAAAGGAAACAAGGAAATCAGAACTGTATCAGCTTTCTTAAAGGATCAGTATAAAAGAATGGCAGAAGCATACAAGGACAAAAATTTACGAGGCCAGAGATATCAAGAGCAACGAGAAAATGAGCTATAGACATACTAGTAGGAAAACAACAACCGTAAGAATTGTTGGTCTGCTGTTCTGAGGGAACGCTACCGGGTGGCCAATGTCAAGAAGGCAGAAGCATTTACTATTCTTCTCTAGAAAGGCTAACAGAAAACAGGAGCTAGCTCAGTTAAACAACACTGATAAAGAGCAAGATTTCAGCCTTGAAACAAGGCTGAAACAGGTTAAAGAGTGCTTATCTAAGCCAGATGTTTTAAAAACTGTTGAGTCAAGACTTCTTCCTAAAAAATGTTGTCTTAGAAGTGTTAACAATTATCTTTCAAAACTCATGGAGGATAATGAGGTATCTAAAGACTAGAAGTGGCAAATGTGCCAGTCACTCTTTCTCAAAATTCCCTTCAAATCCTTGAAAACTTTGATAACAAATCATCAAACAAATTACCAGTTTGTATCTAGAAGATAGCGAGGAGAGGAGTTAGCAGCCAACATAGACCTGTAAAGACAAGGCACGTAACAGTGATCTGATTTCTCATGTCAGAGCAACAGGCCTTATGGACAGAAGTGGCAGAATAACAACTTTACTACAGTAAGACTTTTAGCAGTATCTATATGGGGTTCTCATAAGCAAACAAGGGAAGCATAGCTGTGATGAAATTTCAGTAAGATAAGTAAAAAAACTTGAATATCCATTCCCAGAAAGTAATCATCATCAGTTCTATGTCAAAACAAGTATGTCTGAGTGAGGCTCCAAACATCAGTGTGCTATTCCTATTCTGTTCATTGTTTTGTTTAATCACCTTGGTCACAAAATAAGGAGTACACTTGTTAAACCCACAAGCAATCTGAAACTGAGAGGGACTATAAGTAATAGAAGAAAAATTTAAAAAAAAGGTCTGAAAAATGGACAAAGTACAATGCAGATAAGAACAACATTCTACAAAAGGAAAGAATTGACTGCACAAATCCAGGATGGGGCTGCTAGGCTATGTGGCATTACTGTAAAATAAAGAATCGGGGGTCATAGTGCCTGACAAACTAATCACGAGTCAGTGTCATGCTGCTGCCACAGAAAAAGGTGCAAACAGCAAGCATTATACTTACGTATAGTACGCATTAGATCCGTGAAAAAATTCTCGTACTCTACACCGGCAAGGCCTAAGCTAAGCACTACGTCAAGTGAGAAGATGGCAAAGGAATTGGTAATCATAACTGTTATGATAACCAATTGGCAAATAATTTGTTTTTCGTATTCACAGTTTAGAGGACAACTGCAAATTCATTTACATGAACTGCAAATAGGTTTAAATTAAAGTAAGACAAAACAGAACTAAGCAAAAAATGTTTAAAAAGTAAGGCTAATGAAGCTCTGAAGATTATGCAGTCTCTAACATTTAAGACTTTTTTTTTTAAGTAGATACAAACAGGTATAGCTGATCTTGGTCTGAAACACGAAGTTGGACTAGACCATCTCCAGGATTCCTTCCAGTCCCATTTTTCTGCAATTCAACACTTTTGCATGAACCTGGGAAGGACAAAATTGAGAGCTCAGTCCAGGTAGTCAAATCAGTAGATGCCAAATCTGCGTGTGAGTTTTAAAGCTGACTGCACATTTTTTGTGTTACATTTGTGATCTCATTTTTTCCCCATCTTTTTTCTGCTATGGAAAAAGCAGCCTGCTTTCTTTATAATATACAAATCTTTGATCTAAATATCGCCCCTCAGTTTGCAGACTGCCTTTTTTCTGAGTCTTATCATAAATTACAAATAGGGTGTGGCCACCTTTATCTAAGAAAGAGGTAGAAAGAGCAAAATTAATCTTTGCTTCCTTTCCCTTCAAACAAAACACGTCCAGCGTCAGACTTTCAGTGAACGAAAGTATGAAGGCTGTCTGATTTTTCATATTTGGAGTATTTGTTCTGAATTTCTTCTGTCTTGCAGAATTTGCAATGGACAGTTGAAGCTATAGTTTATTTTGTTCTGAATACTCATTTCCAATGTAGTCCCCTAATTAGGATGGGAAACGGAGAAACAGGACTCCCTGTACTCATTCTCCTTTCTTCCACTGTGAATCCATTTCTCCGTGTCTCAGCGCAGCCCCAGGCCCCATCTTCAAAACAGGATAGCATTCGCATGAAAAGCACCCAATTCCAGATCCTGATTTCAGGTGGGAATTAGGTACCTAAACTAAGATACCTAACAAGAAAGCTAAACTTACTAAAGGAGTAAAGGTGCTACTTGTCTTTGAAAATCTAGGTTTAAATACTGTACTGTATTATTAAAATTGTTATTTTTTACACGGGGGACACATCTAAAAACTACCTGGCCAATTTCTGCATGCATTATCCTCTGCTCTACTAATTTGGGAATAAACGCTGCATAGTATTCACCACTCCCGGGGTCCGTGAGTCCAGTGGCAAATAAGACCGCCTGGCATGCTACCGACTAGAGGCCACCAAGAGCCGGTGCGCTTTGTAAGAGGGAAAGTGCCCGGAGTGAACTGGAAACAGCTGTCCTTGCGGGTGCTTACAGCTGACCCGAGGCAGCGGCAGGGCAGTCGCAGCCATCCGCACTTGCGCCTCCCGGACTTTGCTGCTTACAGCGAGCCGGAAAGCCCTCGTCCTCACGAGATGCGTTGGAATACCTCGGCC